GCGGGGAAACCTCTTGGTGAGAGTTTTAGACAACGAGCGTAATTACTGCACCATTTGCGCAGCTTTGTTGGCAGCTCTGGCGGCTAGCTGCGGCAGCAGTCGGCTGCCTGGGTACCACTTGCATGCCTCCCTTGTACGTATCATTGTAAATTTTCGCCTTTTTAGCTTCGCCAGTTTATGACAAATATCAAAACTGGCTCCCTTTTTCTGGGTGCGTTCGTAGGTTTTGCTTGATCGCGGTGACATAGCACAAATTGAAAACACTAACAGGGAATTTTTTGCCAACCCGACCGTTGATGTGTTCACGCTTTTTGCAAGGTAAAGATGCCAAGAAATGCATTCAGTTGCTTTTCAAAAAGTATGGTATACGGTACAAACAAAAGGCCTTTTTATGCGATTTTCGTGTGAAGTCTTTTTGATGAAGCTGTTTCTTAACAGCAATAAATCTCACCAAAAAGCGCTCTTCAAACTGTTTACTGGGAAGATTTGTGGGAAAAGCGATCATGCACAATGTATCAAGATTACTTCTATGCGGAAGGTAGCTATTCGTTCAACGTTGAGCGAGGTAGACAGACTTGACTTATGTTATAAGTGAAATATCAGGTCGTTCCGAAAGTAATGTCGCTTTTTTCAAATAAACGCCACAGTTCATGGAATCAAGATTTTTGTGAGATTTTAAGAGCATTCGATGCAGCATTTTATCCTCTTTCTAATGGTTACAAACTCATTGCATAATATTTAACGAGCTCTCGAAAAATTACCATAACCTGCGATTCATGCTTTTTACCATGCTCAAGTTCGGCTACTTTTCTAAATTCTTGTGCCTAATCTCGAAGAAGTACAAGTGATAGGTATTAGGATGGTGCAAAAGTAATGCGCGTTTTGTGAGTTCTCACTTTGGCGTGCTATAACTTTCTAAAAAATCCATATTTCTCAGTGCGGCAAATTCCATCAGAGGCACCAAACCTTTCTCTATACAGCGCACATTAATTTATGCTAACATCGCAAAACGGTGGAAAGTATGGATTGACAAGCAAAAAAATTTTTTTTCGGAAACCTCGTTTTCAACTGATCATAACTTCCTTCAAGATTTGTCGGTATGAGTGAAAAGTTGAATGTTTTGTAGCCGTAAGCCAGTAGTACAAAAAAAAGTTAAAAGAGACTTAAACAAAGAAGACTTGCGCCATCGAAATTCATATTTGGCCAACTCAAACTTCATGGAGCAACAACCGGCAAGCAACTCGGGTGTCATTTGACGCAGCTTTTTCTCCTCTTTCTAATGGTTGTTTTTTGTTTCCTCATCAAGTTTTCCGGGATAAAACCACCATAATTTAAGTTTTCAAGGGCGCCCCACGCTGTACCCGGAGTTTTCGAAAGTTGCCAATCTGAAGCGTTGAATACTCATTTGGTTTGTAAAATTATTGCCAAACCATAATCCATCTGTGTAAGTTCCAAAATCTGAAGATTTATTGGTGTTTGATGTATTTGTATCTGAGACGAGTCTGCTGAGATTCGGTGGTTCCATCAAAAAATCTAGACAAAAATTATGACGTGCTCTGTAAAGTAGAAAAAAGTTGTGCTGTTTTCTGTAGGGTCTGCTCTATCCATTACTTGGACTCTTTCCGAGAGTTGTTATGAAAATTTAGAAAAATTGTGAAACTTGGAATTCTTAAAAAGCATGAGTCGCAGATTTTGATAATTTTTCGAAAGGTTATTAGATTTTGTGCAGTGATTATATAAACATTAGCAAGGGTATGAAATGTTGCATCAAATGCTACCAGAACCTCTTACTCGTCTTTGTTCCACGAGATGTGCCGTTGATTTAAAAAAAGCGACATTACTTTCGGAATGACCTAATATGATTGCGTAATTGCGTATGCATGTAAGTCGCATTGAATTACATAAAAAATGCTATATGGTGGAAGTTGAGGGCATTGAGAGTGACCGAACATTGCTGTAATGTATAGCTTTAATTAGACTATTATAATCTTTTACCCAGATATCTTATATCATGACAAACTAACCTGCTACCCGTACTTCTCCAAAATTCTGCGCCTGTCTTAAGCAAGTGAGCATTTCGCCTTTTTTGCTGACTGCAAATTCGTTCCTCTGGCCTTCTATCGCGCACGTGATCACGAGTAGATCTCATCCAGCCTCGCATAAAACACCTTTAAACTTTATCGTTACTATAATCAACTAAAGCGGTCATGTGCGAACTTACACTTCTAGCTTTCTTTGCACCTGCGTCTTCGTATTTGAACTTCCTCCTAGGCGCCACATGTACCAGACTGTCTGAAAACACGTTATCAACAATTGAAAACGATAAGATATTGCAATTGAATACATGCGAGCACACGAAGAAGATTTTCCGCGGAAAGTACCCTCCCCCTAAGCCCTGTAAACTAGAATAACAAACTGTAAGAAGTGTACTACAATGCAACACTACTCGACAAGAGGAAAAAACAGTAGGAATTTTTAAAGGTGGGCGCTTGCTTTAACTAAGAAAATGAAGGTAATTATAGATAAAGAACTTAGAACTTGCTGGTGGTTGTTGCAAAATCCGCTTGTAATGCTTTGGATTGATGAGATAGTACAAAATAAAACAGAGCAACTGCAGCCTAGAAGGACAAGCAAAGAGAGTATGCCCGAATAATATTGCTTAAAACTTTTATAACATTGTATTATATCAAAAACGAAGATGAGGCAACAATGAACCCAAGGAACAACGCAAGTTTTAACTGCCAATCTTGCTCGCCTGCGCATCTAACGTTTCTGGTGTGCATCAACACCGTCTCGAGAGGGCAACGATATGGTTTCTAGTTGGCAACCACAATACAGCGTTATAAATTAAGGCTAACGTCTTATAGCATTTATGCGGCTCGCTCACGAAATCTTGCATTCGCCTCCCCATTATTTCCCGTTCGCTGCCAGCTTGACAGAGTCGCTGCGTCGTCGTGCGCGCTCAGCAGTTATTTTTTGACTTGTGCAAGATTACGAATGCCCGCTGATAGCCTGTCGCTGCCCGCTCACCGCCATTTTTGCAGCATCGCCGCCCGCTCACTGCAAATTTCGCAGTATCGTCGCCCGCTCACTAAAATTGCTATTTAACGCCGCCTCACCATAGGCTTTGATTATCTGAGCTGCAGGTTACTCGTTAATTGCATTCATGGGATGAACTTGAGTCACAACATTTTTCAGTAGTGAGAATAAATGGGCGTGTCGAACAAACGACTTTGATCTTCTACACTGAATGCCTGTCTGTCTGTACGTATGTGTTCGTATGTTCCAAATTCAAAAGGTTATTTCTGAATCGATTCGGACTAAACTTCGCACGCATATACTTCGTTTCCGTGCGGGTTTCATAGACTACTTCTTTGTAATTGATTTTCCTGCAGACTATGAACCATAGCGTTAGCTCAGCACAAGGGTGAATGAGCATGTTGATTATGAGTAAACTATTACGTTTTGGTAAGTAACTTCCAAGCATTCTTCGTCAACCTCAGCGTAGTAGTATAATAGTTAGTATGTAAGTAGGCCACCGCGAATTAGTAAATGTTTGCCATTAGCGGCAGCCTGACGTTTCGACTAGTTCGTCTTCTTCGAAAGCCTCCTTCGCCGCCGCCGTAGATGGATGCTAAATGTAGTCGTCCTTGTTTGCCACCAATATGGAGTACTACCTGATACGAGTCGAAACGTCAGGCCGTCAGTAACAATAAACATCTACCAATTTTGCTTGGCTACTCACATGTCAACATCGCTTTTTAGAATTATTGGCCTTCGTAGAGCTATGGGAATGGTATTCGACTAAGGCAGATAAATGGGCAAGCTGATGACGATTATGTTAACCGTTTGTGATGAGACTCTTGATTTGACTGATGCTGTCGTTTTCTTACAAACTTAGAGCTACGGGACGGGGAGCTGATACAAAGGTTGAATGGACATGTTTATTACTATAGTGTGGTTTTGAGAATACCCATTACTTTATCACTTCATCATTTTTTTGCGAAGCTCGAGCTACGGACCTGGGAGTTGGTAGAGAGGTTTACATAGTGATAATAGAAGCAACATTTATAATAAAGAATAATCATTGCGTTTATCTCTTTCGGTTTTGGCAGAGTTTGGCCTAAGAGGCTGGTTGTAACACTGGGATAATTGAGCCACTGACTGAGAAAACATGGTTGAAGAGAAATAGCATATAAGAGTGGATCAAGGATGGCATAGGCGACTCATCGCACGCAAAGACTGCGGACGCATCGGCATCTCTCTGGTCAAGCACTCCTTTGTTTCTCTTACCACAGGCTGTCTCTCCAATGCATGAGCTACGTTGGTCAGACGCAACAGCGCCCAGTCTTTGCATGTTATGAATCGCCGTTACGTTGTTGCAAAGTATGGTAATTATTATCATGGTGTATTAATAAAGCCTGGCGAAGCCGCGTATGCGAGCTATTGCACAATAAATATAAAAGTGTTGTAAAACAACGTTATTCTACCCTATACAATATGGTCTAGTCCATTAGCCACGACGCAAAGGCCCTTTCTTTCTCAAAAACAAGAATAGAAGCACTGCGAATGAATAGCAAATTGAAATAAATGTATAGCGAAAACTGCTACGATAGAACAAGTTGAAATTTCTAGGCATGCGGAAAGGATCTGGTGTGCAAACAAGATGCAGTGTGTGAATAAAAAGATAGCATAAGCATGAGAAATATGGCTAAGCATGATTTTAGCACATTTTGTAATTGAAATTCTCTCTCAATTCTCTCGTTTTCGGCATTAAAACTAGGCGATAGTGTAGTTAGTTTGGGTGATATTTGCACTCAACGAGCACTCAAAAAGCAGCCTACTGCAGCGCTAATCAGCCAAAGCAGCGCTGCCTTTGCTGCTCGTTTGTTTTGTCGATACATAAGCAGGTAGGTATGTAACAATCCTAACGGCAGAAGCTCTATGCACTGCAAGCGCAACGACGCGCGTGAGTCATTTTCCTAGCCACAATCTTACCGATGCACGTTTTTACTGCTTCTCATGGTCTCTCACTTTATTTGCTGACAATTGAGACTCTCACTTTTGTCGTGGTCATAACCAGAGCTAGATCACCCCGTCGAAGTTGTGTGATTGCACTACGCACTGTCGCAGCTAGACGGATATTGAAGGTAAGAAAATGATAACACCCACTCACTTCTTATTGAACAAATTTAAGAAAAGAAGACACAGAGCTGTGGAAATTGAGAATGTTTAGCAATCATTGTGCTATAGTTCATGCTATGCGACAGCGTTTGATGCTGCAAAATTTTGTTGATACATTTTTCAGAGCAAGGATGAGCTTGTTGAAAACACTGAAAAAGCCTTGGTCGTGGACGCAAGAGTTACTGGTCGACCTATGTCATCCATAATACACGAGTTTCGCGAGATCCTCTCTTCTTTTGACGAAATCAGTTATGAAAGGGGCGCTGCAATCATCGCAATGCTCCGTACAGTGATAGGAGAGAAGAATTTTAGAAAGGGACTAACGGTGCGTTTTTTTTCACTTGATTTGTTGTTATGCACTTTTTCAGGCATCTTGATCTTTACTGTTTTACTGCTTGTAATTTATGTCAGTTGAATGCCTTTCATTTACAACTGATTCAACTGGCTGAGCTTCGGTAAAGGCGAGGCTTTGTGACCTAATTAAGGCTAAGAAATGATCAGAGAGCACTCGCGCGCGAGAGACGCAGGTGCGTCGTGGGCGCGAGCGGCCTGCCCTGACGGAGCTATACCAGTTGAATCAAAAATATACAGAGCAACATCAGAACGGACCTAAAGTTACAAAGTTTTAGTGTTGGGCTTCAAATTTCCTAGACTGCAAAATGCTCCAAGAGAGTAGATGAAGGCGCATCTGAAACTAGCCTTGCCTCAGAAAATATACATTACCAAAGACGCACGCAGTCACGTAGTATTATTACTTGTTATTTTTGGCAGTGTTCTAACTTATGATCGCTTGCTTTTTTCTGAATCAAAAACAAGGAGCTTTATGTAGCCCGCAGAAGCCTAACGCACGCAATACTATCATTCTGAAAATTTTGCGTCTTAGGCACAAACCATTACATGCACTTCGCTAAATGACAACGTTATAGATCATTAATGTCCCGTTTCTCTCTCAAAGTAAATAAAGTTGGGAGATTGGATGAGTGGTTGACGTGAATGATCATATTGTGTGCGTTGCTCCAATCAAATATTTCGGCTTTACTTTTACGTCCTTCAACAAGAACTTCTTTTCTTCAGGTTGGTTGCTGCACACTCTTTTGCTAGTCTGTCCATCTGTCACTCGTACTTACGTCGAGCAGTCATGCCACGCTGAATACCATAGCATCCAAACTTTAGTGTTATTCTAAGAGCTCGTTGGTGCACTGGTGTTTGATTGTAAGCACACAAGGTGCACCAACCTAGCTATAAGGAAGAACATATAGAAACCTCGATCGAATGAAAAGAAAATGACCTATCATACTCAACCCCTCATGTCAAGTGCAACCGCTGCAAAAAACGAGAACCGTAAATGAAGATCCGCTTAAAGGCAGTGGATCGGCAAAATCTAACAACTCAGAACTTTAACGCAATAGGTTCTTTGTTGCCCAAGTATGAAAACAGTGCAATCCCGGTTGCACAGCATGCTTTCCCGCCGAAATAATTGCCAAACCTACACGCGCAGGTCAATCTTACACGCTTTCGGACGAGTTGGCAATTTCCTCTTCACCATTCGAGGCTGCCCGTCGCAATGCTTCAACCATTGGGTCCCGCAACGATCCAGTATCATCAGCCTTGCTCCACTCGTCCAATTCCGAAGGGAAGGGCATCGAAAAACGCTCGTTTTCGCCGTTTTCAAGCTCGCAGAAGTGGATTGGTAAGCGAAAATTTGACTTAGTTGAGATTTGCCGAGCCATTGCCTTTAAGCCACAGAAGCAGACTTTACCGGCTCAAAAATTAGACATATCTTCAACACTAGAGAATGCTACCGCCCTAAGTGTAATGTAAGTTTAAGGGCGTCTGAGGCTAGATTGGTTCACGTTGAGTATTCACTAACCTAACAATCTAGCCTCAGATACCCCTGTGGTACCATCAAGCAAAACAGATATCGAGTAGCAGTTCTAAGATAGAAACAAACATAAGATAGAGTAAAAGTGTGATAGACCAGTAAAGAATGTTCAACATCGACAGGCAAATTCAAACAAAAACAACAGGGCCCTGTGCACGAGTTGGGCAAATGACAAGCTGGAAATCATTCTTGGTGAAAAAAGCAAGAAGGAAATCATTCTTGCGGGGTAGGGGCGGAGCCTCGGAATGACTTATACATCTGATTCATTGGGAAGTAGTTTTCATAAGCCTCAACGCGCAGCAGAGTTCGCGCGCGCTACGCCGCACCGCCGCTAATTGTCGCGTGCGCGACGTCGCATAAGCGATGCCGTTGAACAGCATGATTACATGATCAGTTCTCAAAGCAGGCGTAACGAGCACCAAATTACGTAAGCGAACCAAGAGAGGGTAGTAGAAACAAAGTATGAAATACAGGATGTCACAAAGTAAGTACACACTTTTCGAACGTTAATATCTCTGTTCCCATTGTCATTTTCCGCCGTTCATGTACCTTCTATGGAGAAGTTTAACTTAGATTTAATCGATTGAATTACCAATCGCTCTTCATTACTGTAGCGTTACTGTAGGAACTTCGACAAGCATTTTAGGCCATTGGAAGCCATATTCTACCTCGCAACAAAACTGAACAAGCCAAAAACTCTTATACCATGGTAATCGAAAGACGGTTTCGATTATGAAACTTCTTGTTTACCGTGATGCTTCTTTCCAAAGTTATCTCAGGCAAACCGTAATAAAGAATTCCCAGTATTTGTCGGAAATGTGATTACACCGTCAAAAAAGCTGAAAACACTTGTAAAAAGTTGTTAGGTGGAATCAGCATGCGCGAAAATCCCAGTACACCATTTTTTTAGATTTGAAAAAATTTTTTTGTTAGGTGGTAAATTTCAAAATGGTTCCACATGTTGAAGGTTCTTACCTTAATCTTACAGTAGCGATGAGCGATCGCTGATTCGCTCCTTACTGTAAATCTAAGTTGAAGCCTCCTCTATGGAATGGTGCTTAAATGGCGGAAAAAGACTCAATGGGAACAGAGATATTAACGATTGAAAAGTGTGTACTTACTTTTGGGACACCCTGTATTATGAAAAACTTATGCGAATGGAAGGTTTAATAAGCATTCTAAAAATTTTGCAAAACTGGTAAATAAAGATGTAAATTCAAATGGCTTGTTTGCAGCGCACAGATGAACGTACGGTATGATGGTACTTGGTAGGTACATGAACACGGGCCTGCAAAGCTTAACTTACAAGGGAAGCTTGTTTTGTCGAAGTGGCCTTTCTATTAGGTTGAACCGAAAGTTTAGTCGCACCATATTCAAAAAATCATAACTTCCTGCGGTCACGACGTTCTGGGCGATTCAAATTTTTTCTGAAAGCGTAAAGCATGTAGTTTCCAAATGCTCCCTGTGAAGTTTCCGACATGGTCAGGTGACAGAGATAAAAATGAAAGAACGAGACCATACAGAATTCGAATTTTTTTAGCAAGAATTCTAGAAATTCAGAAACAGTGCGATAAAATCCAGAAAAGCCATTATCCTAATTTTTCTTACATTTGATTACTATCTGATTCAAGTTTGTTCTGATCGACGTCTTCTTCCAGAAGTTATGATTTTTTGAAAAATAATGCCGAAAAATCAATTTTCTAACAAGGGAATGGTCAGAAGTCGAAGTGGCCAATCCATGCAAGCTGCATACCAATCGATGCAGCATAGAATGCTGATTTCAAATGTGTCTTCCGTATCTGCAGAGCGCCTTTGTGGGCGAAGTTATGAGCAGCTTTACTGCGAAAAAATCGTCCACAAAAACTGCGAAATTAGGCAGATCACTGCTCTTTTAGCTCACCTTTAGGTACGAGCCATATGAACTGACCTAGTTACACGTTTTGGTCCAACACTGAGCCGAGAATGGCTTTGTATGGCCAAGTTTGACCTTTACACGCACAATTTCTTAGCAAAATGATGACATTCAACGGCTTATAACTTCGCCTACAAAAGCGCTCTGCAGATAAGGAAGACAGATCTGAAATCAGCATTCTATGCTGCACCGAATGGTATGCAGCTTGCTTGAATTGGCCACTTCGATTTCTGACCATTCCCTTGTAAGAATTCTTAAGAAATGGATTTTTTGGCATTTTTTTTTCAAAAATTCATAACTTCTGGAAGATGACCTCGATCAGCACAAACTTGACACAGATAGTAATCAAATGTAAGAAAAATTAGTATAATGGCTTTTCTGGATTTTATCGCACTGTTTCTGAATTTCTAGAATTCTTGCTTAAAAATTCCGAATTTCGGATGGTCTCGTTCTTTCATTTTTATCTCTGCGACCTGAGCATGTCGGAAACTTCACAGGGAGCACTTGGAAACTATATGCTTTACGCTTTCAGACATAATTTGAATCGCGCAGAATCGTCGTGACCGCAAGAAGTTATGATATTTTGAAAATGGTGCGACAGAACTTTCGGTTCAACTTAATAAATATGATGCATACCATACTGAAGCGCATAAAACTGACTTCAAATCTCCTTCCTTATCTGCAGAGCGTTTATGCACGAAGAGTTATGAGCGTTTTTTGAAGCCAAAAGTTGAACGTGCATTTTGGATAAAATGAATTGCTAAAATCTTACTAGCCCCTAAATAATGCAACCAAGTGTCATATATTTTTTATTTGAGAACATTTTTCAAACGAAGTACTCTGATCATTATCAATGATCCTTTGAAGAGCTAGAAAAAGTACTACAATTACTTTTGTCCAACTTGCACATTCAATTTTTTACTTCGATAAGCGCTCATGACTCTTCGTCCATAGACGCTCTGCAGATATGGAAGGCAGATTTGGAATCATCAATTTATACCTGTTAATACGGTTTACGTCCCATCTAAAAAGACCACTTTGACTAAACAAGCATTCCTTGTTAGAAGTTTCATCGAGAAATTATGTGACTGAAGGTTGTGGCAAGCTTTTTCCTGAAAATTCTACATTATCAAGAAAAGAAAAATGGCTCGTTTGCGGCGCAGAAAAAACGAAATTGCGCGAGACTTGGTGTGTATATGTATACGCGCAGTAGGATAAAGAAACAATGTACGAAAAATTATGAAAAACTTATGTGAATTAAAAGCGGCTATTTTCCAAATTAGGTGGGCAATTGCCTACCTAATGTCCCACTTGAGGTAGGCAAAACTACAGTTCACATAAATTTTTCAAAACTCTTACATAAATCTGCTCCACACCTAAAGCTTAGTATACAGTAACATTTTGGTTTTGAACTCCTCCTCTTGTTTTTGTTAGAGCCCAAAATTGCACCAGCAGCCCTTTCTAAGGAGGAAAGCGCGCTTCAGTCAGTCGATACGCAGAAATGGCATCTCTCAGTAATATAACTGCGGTA